AGCACAAGGACTGGATCCTTGTGGCTAAGGTTAGCAACCAGTGGCAGGATCTTTGAACTGACTCTGTAAACCTGTGGGTTCCGTATATGCGGTTAATGTCTTGACTGCCTGGGGACTAGTCTGTTCAGCAGGCTTAGTTCAGTAAAGAAATAAATAATTCCATTTTAAATGTTTAATGTTTTTAGTTCTTCTTGAGGGTGTTGGTACAGGATACGAGTTAACAGTTGTAATCTAATTGTTTCAGTCCAGATATATATAGATGCTATTTTATTATGCTTACTGTAATTATCAGCTCCTCCAAGTTACCTGTCACCCAAAAAGGTTATCGATCCTTGCTCTATCCTGTCTGATTGTGTTATGATTACGTTTTACATTGAAATTGTAAGTGGACAAAACGTGATCATGATTGGCATCAGGTATGGAGGTTTTGCATAACTTCATTTTACTTAAAGTTGTACCTGGTTCATAGAATGAGACTTGTGTAACGTCTTCTTTCGCAGATCATGAATATAAAACTTGAGGATTTTGCAGATACACATGAAGAGGAGGATCCTCTAGGAGAACTTCCATTAATAAAGTCTGAACATGAGGTGAGTTTCACATTTTTATGCACTTTTAAGAAATACGTAGGATTACGTGTTTTGTGTCTCTTGTCCATCTCCACATGAAGGAATTCCACTCTGGTGAATGGATTTTGAAATGTCCTTTGAATAATGGTGCCAGAGGACTGAATTTTCTTGGGCACTATTTATGAAATACCATTTTAATTATGTGTTGCATCAGTTTTAAAACATATGAAATTAAACATTGACCAAACTGAGAAATATTTTAGACAAATATAGCCCATAAATCTTGTATAATTTGTGGGCTTTGTATTGAAAATACTGCGTGCTATTGAATTTCTTATACAATTCACAGGAACTATGAATGTTCTAAGATTATCTTTTATTTCTTTTGTAAGTTGATGCAAATTGTACTCATATATTAGAACAGTGTTGTCATTTCTGTTAAGCATCATTAACTCTTTCTTTATGGGAAACTAACATTGAGTATCTAATAATAAACTTTATTCAGGAGATAAATTTGCAGCCATGGAGACTTTTAATTAAGGAACAATTTGTGTCATAGCATATTCTGCCTTGGTTTTTGAATTTGTTTCTGTAGACCCAAATATTCTCCTTTCCTGTATTGGTTTGGCACATATTTAATTAATTCAAATATTTAAGAAGTTAACTTGACTTCATATATAAAGTTTGTTGTTTTTCTGGACTTTGTCCATAGTTTGATATTCTAAAACAAAACTGTTATATTTCAATAGCTGGATCTGCTGCTGTCTTAAAGTGAAAATGCGTATTCTGTGGTCCCATAGAAAAGTCTTATTAGTCCCTTGGGATTAGTCCCTCCTGTGGGACCAGAGCAGATGTAGTTCTCAGAACGCGCTGATCGTGTTTTAAAATATCAAATGATGGACCATGTCAAGAAAATCAGCAATTTTAAATAAACTCCACCATCTTCAGGCTCCTTTAACCATGTTCTGCAGGTATTATTAGTTTTATTCAGTCCAATTGCATTGATAATTATTCTATTTCTTGCAGTGAGACAGCACAGTCACGATTCATAATGAGTATGGTTATTTTACAGGCCTCCATCAATTTTCAGAAAGTTGTACCTGATGCTTATAGTGAAACGTGTCTCGAGTCTTCTTATGATGACAATCAAGTTACCAATATCAAAGCTGAGGATGTTGGAGGTGTGAAAGAGGAGGAGGATCCTCTCTTGATAACATCTCCAGTAATAAAGGCGGAGCATGAGGTCAGTTGTGTGAGCATTGTTTATTCACATTGCATCTCCATTTGTCTGTCCACATGAAGGAATTCCGCTCTGATGAATGGATTTTGAAGTGTCCTTTGCAAAATGGTGCCAGAGGACTGAATTTTGTTGCTTAGTGTTTGTGAAATGGAATTTTAAATTTCTGTTGCATCAGTTTTAAAATATGTGAAATTAAACATTGCCCAAACTGAGAAATGTTTTACACAAATATATCCCGTAAATCTTGTATAATTCGTGGGCCTTGTATTCAAAATACTGCCTGCTGTTGAATTTCTTATGCAGTTCACAGGAACTATGAATGTTCTAAGATTATGTTTTATTTCTTTTGTAAGTTGATGCAAATTGTACCCATATATTAGAATAGTGTTGTCATTGCTGTTAAGCAACATTAACTCTTTCCATATGGAAAGCTAAAATTGAGTATCTAATAATAAACTTTATTCAGGAGATAAATTTGCAGCCATGGAGACTTTTAATTAAGGGACAATTTGTGTCATAGCATATTCTGCCTTGGTTTTTGAATTTGTTTCTGTAGACCCAAATATTCTCCTTTCCTGTATTGGTTTGGCACATATTTAATTAAATCAAATATTTAAGAAGTTAACTTGACTTCAT